TCTTTTTTTTTTAAAGATTTTTATTGGGGAATTGGGGGGATGGGAACAGTGCTGGGGAATTGGGGGAAGGGGAACAGACAAGTTGCTGTCGTTTTGTTCTTCAATCTAGTTGTGGAGGATGTTGCTTCACTGGCCCAAGTTGGCACCATCATTGCGCTCTTCTCTGGCGAGGCAGATCAGTCGCCGGCTTCTGGACGGCCGCTCACTGCGGCTGCTGGCCGCTCACGCTGGCTGCTGGCTACACACGGTAGCCCATGGTAACCCACTGCAACAGGGACTGCAGCCTACGCCATCGCCGGCGACTCATGGCAGCCCAGCTCCAGGTTGAGCTGTTGTTCAGCATCTTAGCTGTGGAGGGCAGTGTCACTGGCCCTCATATGTGGGATCCGAACCGGGGCCCTCTGGCATCCCAAGCGAGTTCTTAACCATCGCACCACTTGGCCGGCCCCTATCAACAATTACTTTCAATGGAAATGGATTAAATGCTCTGATCAAAAGGTAGGGTGGCTAAATGAATAAGAAAACCAGACCCTTACATATGCTGCTTACAAGAGACTCACTTCAGATTGAAAGACACACACAGACAGAAAGTAAAGAAATGGGAAAAGTTATTTCATGAAAACAGAAACAAAAAAAGCTGATGGCAATACTTACATTAGTCAAAATAGACTTTAAAACAAAGGCTATAACAAGAGACAATGAAGGACCCACTAATCCCACTTCAGGGTATTTATCTGAAGAAACCCAAACACTACTTTGAGGGGATGAATGTATCCGTATGATCATTGCAGCATTGCTTACAATGGCCAAGATGTGGAGGCAGCCGGGGTGTCTGTCGATGGAAGAATGGATAAAGAGGAGGTGGTACATATATGCAATGGAATATGGCTCAGCCATGGAAGAGGACGGGTTCTTGTCATCTGCGGCAGCATGGACAAACCTGGGGGGCATTGTGCTGAGTGGAGTGTCAGACACAGAAAGACAGGTGCAATGTGATTTCGCTTACATATGGAATCTAAAGAACAAAACAAAACAAACAAACAAAAAACACCCAGAAACAGACTCATAGGTACAGAAAACATTTGGATCATTGGCAGATGGGAGGGGGGTTGAGGGTGTGGGTGAAAAACGGTGAAGAGATTAAGAAGTACAAATTGGTTGTTACACAGTAGTCATGGGGATGTAGGGTATAGCATAGGGAATATAGTCAATAATATTGTGATAATTATGTATGGTGTCAGATGGGTGCTAGATTTATCATTGTGATAGATGGGAGGGTGGTTGGGGGACAGGGTAAAAAAGGTGAAGGGATTAGAAGTACAAATTGGTAGTTACATAATAGTCATGATGATGAAACGTAAAGCATAAGGAATATAGTCAATAATAAGGTAATAACTAAGTATAGTGCCGGGTGGGTACTAGACTAATCAGAGGGATCACTTCTTAAATTATATAAATGTGTAACCACTACGCTGTGCACTTGAAATTAATATAAAATAATATTGAATATTAACTGTAATTGTAAAATTAAAAAAGAGGGAAAAAGGTGAAGGGGAATAAGAGGTCTAAATTTTCAGGAATAAAACAAATAAGTCATAGGGATGTAATGTACAGCATAGGGAATATAGCCAATAATATTGTGATAGCGTGGGATGGTGTCAGATGGTTGCCGGGCTTAGGGTGATCACTTCTTTAGGTATATAAATGTTGAATAGTTATTGTGTACACCTGAAACTAATACAAAGTTTTATGTTATAACATATTTTAATATTTTTTTAAAAGGGTAGAAACTGTCTTTTAAAAGTTACTTGCCTTTTTTTCTTTAATCTCTTGATTATGTGACCACATGAAGGCAGATTCTCTTTGGGGAATTCAGCAAAACTGGCTCTTTTGTTCTCACTAGTAAAAACCAGAAGCCCTGCATTTTGCCGGGGAGAACTGTAAGGCACTTGACACCTGACCTCAGAGATTCAGTGTCTTGCCCTGGTCATTCATAGTGAGTGTGGTAAATCAGAGATGTGGTCATGAGGCTTCTTGACTTTTGGAGGTAGAGAGAGGATAGTAGAAGGAGGGATAGAGAAAAACAATGTTTCTTTTTTATGCATAAACTGACAAAGCACTGTGCATGAACTGCTGCTTGTTCCTGTGGGGGTGGACGTGGGCAGGCAGGAATAATGAATGCAGTCTGCAGGTAAGCAGTGGCTGAAGTAGCTGCTTTCAGAAGGCTTTGTGAGACCCGGGACATAAGCAGTGTTGCTTCAGGCACCGGGGAGCAAACGTGTGAAACAAAGTTGTAATGAGTGTCAATAATTTTTCTCACCTCTTCCATCTCCTTTCCGAACCCCTTGAGCTCCTGGAGAAAAACAGTCTGAAGCATTGGGACAGGGGGCCCTTGCTTTCATTTGTAATCTCGCACAAAGCAAAGCTCCTTGCATTGGGGCAGGGAGGAAGAACGTAAAAAACATGGGGTGAGGGTAGAATGACTGTCCACCAGTTTGTGAGTACATGAATAAACATCTTTTTGGATGTCAGGAATACTTGGCAGAAATTTTGTACAGGGAATCAGCCTGAGGTGCTGCAGTCATTTTGTTAGGGCTTGAACCGCTGTAATTTGGGCATGAAGTTCAAGTGACTTCAGTTTATACTTACAGTTTGGCTAAACCTGGATAGAAAAACTATATATGTAGAACTATGTATGCATACATGCATGTTTTAAGTGTATGTATTTTCTTAACTAAATTGGTATCTTTTTGCATATTATTTTGAATCATTTTGTTTTTATGGAGCAGTTTATTTGGGGCATTCCCTTGCCATTAGATTCTTTTCAGACTGCATTCCTGAAGGAGCCTGGCCCTGTGGCTGGGGTCTTGCACCATCTTCCAGCTCAAGAGGAAACCACCTGTCCTCCTGCCACCTGCGACTCTCCCCACTGGCTCATCAGCTGTTACTTGGTTCCAGCAGCCTCTGGGGTTCTGACATTGGGCCTGGCTTCACTCCTTCCATGGAAGTGACAAGGGACCCGTTTTTAGAAGGCATGACAGGCAAGGTCCCGAAGTCTAAGAGCAAGTAGGTCAGGTCATCCCTTGTCAGTGCATTAGTAAGAAAACACCAAACCCAGTGAGCCTTCCACAACCCCCACCCCACCCTGACCTTGCCTCAGTTTGCGAAGAAACTGAGGAAACGTTGTTAATGACTATGTATGGTGTCAGATGGGTGAGTACTAGACTTACCAGGGTGATCACTTCATAAGTTATATAAATGTCTAATCACTATGTTGTACAACCGAAACTAATGTTGAATGCCAACTGTAATTGAAAAATTAAAAAAATAGTAAAAAAATATTAAAAATTAAGAATAAAGAAACTCAGACGGGGTCACGTAACTTGCCCTGGGGTGTTGCAAGCTTGTAGCAGGTATGGAACTTGCACCCAAATCTTCTGATTCCCCAAGGTCAATGCTTTTCCACCCACCCCCGAGTCCTCCCCACAAGTTAGTCTGATGGAAGATGTGAATTTATCAACAAATCACACACCGAAACCACAGAAACACTTTTATTTATTTGCTATCACAAATACAGAATCAAATTAAGGCAGTATAATACATATCCATTTAGCCTTACAAGCTTTTGTACAGTAAACTTAAAACTAAGTGTCAATTTGAATCAATAATTAAAATTTTATATTAAACAGCAACTTTTTCTTGAGTTCCAGGAAAAAAATCATTTCCTGGGCTGTCAAGCATGCTGATGCAAGACATCTAAAACTTAACATTGTGGATCACTGAACCTCAGCCAAAGGTGGTGGGAGGCTGGAGTTGGTGTCTCTCCCTACTCCCCTCCCACCCCAGCTATAAGGCTCAGAGCAACAAGGCAAGAGGGAAAGGATTTTGAAGAAACACTCATTTACAACCTTCATGGCAGGACTCCATTCACTTCTGGCTACCTATTATTACCTCGAAATACCTTTTGAATGAAAAAAATGTAAAAACTGAGTGTATAAAGACATCAGACTGTTTTAAAAAAAATCTGAGGTAAAGTGTAGTTGTGAATTATAATATTAAAACCACAATGGTCATTGATCCCAGCAACTATAAATTTAAATTTTAGAAGAAACTAGCTTAGGAATGAATTTTGTTTCTCTGAAACTAAATTAAGAAAACAACCACCTGGGGAGATACCAAAAATGGTAAAAATAAGGTAAAAACATGTCATCATTTACATTTGTGTTCGACTAAAAAAAATCAGCACCCATGTTTGAATTTTCATAAAACAGAAACAATTTGGTGTGGCCATATCTTTCCTTTTGCCATTTTATGTCATAGGCATAAAAATTTATTTTAGGAAGAGCTTATCAAATTGTTTTTTAGATACACATCACATTTTGTCACTGGAATTTAGAAAAGAAACTGTTCCAAGTACTTGCACTTTATATAACAACTGCCTCTCTGGCTGCCATTAAAAGTACAATATAGAGTTACATACTTAATGACATGAAGCTCGGAGGTCACATTTACTTTACAGAAGCCTTCACAGGGAACACCTTCACCATTGCGCATGCACCCCTCCCCCACTACCCCCTCGGGCAATGGGAGAAGAAAGCAGGAACAAGGAGGAGGAAATGAGGAAAGAGGAGAAAGGGGAACAGGGGAGAGGGAGAAAAAAATCAGTCTAAAATTTCAAGGATCACTGTGGGCTCAAGGTCAACCAAAGGAGGAAAGGGAGGCTCAGAAAAACAGATGTCAAACTTGAGTCAAATTTGATCTCTAAAAGAGCATGCAAGTGCACACTCTCTCACACACACACACACACACACACACTTTCTAGAATACATGATGTAGAGGAATCTGCCTGAGCAATGGGATTAGTTTACACCATGGTTGTAAGTCAGTGTCTGTATGTATTTTTCTGTGTATAGATGCAGTGAGGTACCTCACTTTGGATTACATATGCTAGATAAGCTTAAAAGTGGGCCACTGCTTGGCCAACCCCCTAAGAACATTTTTCACATCGACAGGTCATCAGAATCCATTTCAATATCAAAAGCCACAAACTCATCGTAATCACTGGTGTCAGTGGTGACCACAGTGGAGTCAAGAGGGTCAGTGACACCGACAGGCTCCAGCCGGCTGTCAGCAGGCTCAGGGGTTCTAGTGGCAGGACTGGAGGGAGGCTCAGGGAAGTCAGTGATGTCACACTCAAGGTGGCCAGCAGCAGTGGTCTCAGGGTGGCAGGAGGCAGTGAGATCAGGGTGGCCAGTGATGGCAGGCTCGAGGTGGCTGGTGGTAGCAGGCTTAGGAGAGTCGGCAGTGGTGGGCTCAGGGAGGCTGGTAGCAGGCTTGATGTGTTCAGTGGTGGGTTTAGGGCTGTTGGTGATAAGGCTGAAGGCACTCTTGGAGTGGCTGCCCACAGAGATGTGGTGGCCAGTGACAGGAATGGGGTGGCTGGAGGCAGACATGAAATGGACAGAGTCAGCCTTAAAACGGACAGTGGCAGGCTTGGGGTGACCACAGGCAGACCTGGAGTGACCACAGGCAGATTTGGGGTGGCCAGAAGCAAGCTTGGAGTGGCTAAAGACAGCCTTGGGGTGGCCCGAGACAGATTTGCGGTAGACAGAGGCAGGCCTCAAGTGGCCAGAAGCCGGCCTGGGGTGGCCAGAGGCACACCCAGGTTGGCCAGTGGCAGCATCGCCAGGTAGTGGAACATTCCAGGCATGCATTGGTATTTCCTCCACCGCAGGACAGGCATTGGCACGGTCTTCTTCATGGGTTTCCTCTCGGACGTCGTAACTGGCGTGGGCACAGAGACGGGCACAGAGACGGGCACAGAGACGGGCACGGAAACGGTCACGGGTCTGGGTCTCCCACCGCTCACGCAAATTAGTGAAGAGGCCAGAGAGGAAGAGGATAGGGTGCCGTATAGCATGGAAGATGACCCAGTATTCTCTTCGGAAATTCTCATTGAGGATCCCATAGATCACAGCATTGAGGCAGCTATTGAAGTAGGCTATGAAGTACAATGCAAGATAAAGCCAGTAGGGGACCTTGCCTGCCACCTCTTTTGGACTGACAGCCACTAAGACATTGAGCACGTTGATAGGGCACCAGCACACTGCAAAGAGGAGGAAGATCACAAACATGGTTAGAAAATTGTGAACCTCAGCAAGCTGGCCGTCAGGATTCTGCCCAGTCGCGGCCCGGGCCGCCAGCACTTTGATCCAGATCCTCAGGTAGCAGAAACCCACTATGAGCAGAGGGATGACAAAGTGGATACAGACGATGGTCACGACAAAGACGGGGTTGTTCAGGTAGTTGAAGATGCAGGTGTAGGTGCGAGGATCGTACTCAATGGTGCCAATGTACGTGTTGGGCAGGATAGCCAGGATGGCCATGATCCAGGTGATGGCCAGGAAAATGAAGGTATTGCGCATGCTGAAGATCCGCTCATACTGGAGGCTGTGACAGATGTAGCAGTAACGGTTGATGGCAATCGCCATGATATTGAAGATAGAGCTGACCACAGTCAGCCCTGTGATGAATCCAAACACCTGGCACTGGAAATGGCTCAGATCCCAGCCCCCAACGGCCATGGCATGCAGCATCAGAGGGTAGGGGTAGATGGCCACCAGCATGTCAGCCACAGAGAGGCTAGCCACGAACATGTTGCCTGAAAAATGCATCGGGGAGAGGGGGGAAAAACAGAAAAGAATAAATGGTTAAGTTTGGAAATCTACAAATTTAAGCTGGAGGAAAGGCCAGCTGGTGTCAAGACAATTTAGAATTCTAGAGTTCTTTCAGAGAAATGCAGTTGATTTTATTTTTATTTGCAAGCTTGTTCCAGGTGATTCTGATGCAGCAGCCAGGTTTGGGAGACCTGTCCTTTGTCCACATTATTGTGAGCACAAAAGCCCCTTGAGGAGCCCTTCACACTCACACAGGGAGTAGACAAAAACAAAATGCAAACTATTTCCCTGGGGGTGGGAAGAGCGGGGTAGATCAAGCTGTTGTGGGAAGCAGCCTGGAGGGTGGGGGAAGGGGAGAGATCGGAGGAATGTCAGGAACCCTCCACCCCGGCCCCCCACCCCCATTAGCCCTCTGCCTTCTCTAGCCTAGCATTGCATTCATAACTGCAAACATGTCTACAGAGAGCTGTCGTTTTCTGAAGCAGCCTTTCCCAGCGGGATCAGTAAATATTTACCATTTCCGAGGTAACCTAAGAGTAAAAACTGAGGGGGAGAGGGAACCCTGTAAAATTTCGTCTGAGACCAAAGAAATAGTGAGCAGGATTTTTTTTTTAATCTGGAAATCAGTGTAAGAATTAGCAGAAGTCCCTGCTTCCTGCGGGCCCAGGCACAGAGAGGACCACACCAGCACCTTCGCCGTCCTGCATGAGGGCCCGGCGCCAGGCACTGAGCTATTCTGGAGCTGCTAAACAGGAAAGCGAAGGGAATGGGGTCCTGTCCTCACTCCTGTTTTGTAGGGCGTTGGTAGGAACGATTTCGTAAAACCTTTAAAAAAAAAAAAAAGGTAGCGGCCGAGTGCCGGCGCACAGTCCTCTTTTTTTGGAAACACCTTGTTCCTAATTAGCATTGGTTTGGCAAAATATTGCACTTCATCTTGCACTAGGAGACAATTAGTACTTATTAATATGGCAAAGGACTGGCTCCTTCTGCCTCTTTAAGGTTGCGCTGCCAAGGCGCGGCCTCCGCGCTTTATTCCCAAGGGGATATTTCTAGGGTTTCCCTCAAAGTAATGAATTTGGAGAAGAAATGCGGCAAAGAGAGAGGGCAAAGCCTTCAAAACAAAACCACAACAGCCAGAAAATCTCTTATTTGAATTATAGAAAGAAAGGAAGGAGAAAAAAATAAAGGGAAAAAAAAATAAGAAAAAAGCCGGCCTCGCAAGTGTCCCTGGGGCTGCGCATTTCCGCACCTTGGGACCGAACTGCTCTAGTCAAGGTGAGGTCCAAGTGTGCGGTCCCACGTCTCCAGGGTACCAAGGAGAAAACAGCCGCATCCACCAAAGCTTAGAAGAAAACTTTTAATGAGTGTGTGCCCTGCATTGCATTTTGAAACTTGTATGGTGTTTGTGACCGCCCGTCCCAGCACAGTAATCCCCCTGAGACTGGCAGCCTTCCCCCCGCGTCCCTCCCTCCCGGGTCCTGTGGACGCCCAACCCCCTCAGACCCCGCCCCTCCCCTTCCACTGCCCTCAGGCCCCAGCAGGAACCTGGCGCGGAGACCCCAGGCGCAGCTCCCCTCCCTCCCGCGGCTGAACGTGGAGTTTGGGCCCCTTTGCCCCTCCTCCTTCCCTTCTGAACCCTCTCCCGCCCAACCTGCAAACGGTTCTCGCCGCTTCTCAATATCTGCTGCAGGTCTCAGTGCCCATCATCCTCCTGCGCCTCCCCACTCGCAGCTGGCCCCCTCCCCTTGGCATTGGTTGGCAGCGTGGAGTCTCGCTCACCGCCGCAACCTGTCCCAGATCCCCGCGCTTTCCAGTCTCTCTGAGCGCCCCAACGCCCCTCTGAGTTCTCCTGCAGTACTCCTGAGATCTTCACTCGCTTCTGCTTTTTCTATCCTCCGCCCTCAAGACAGCAAGCTCCCGAACCTCTTCTCTGCCACGCCCTGCGACCCCCAGTACCCCGCTTACACACTTAGGGATCTCCGCTGCCACCGCCTGCTGCGCCCAGCCAGCCACGCGCCTCTCTCCACGATGCGCCCTGGGACCGGCGGACGGAGCTCCGCTCCGGCGAGCTCAGATCTCCCTGCCCCACACTCAGGCGCGGGGGTCTGTGCCCCGCCGCCCGGGAGCTACGCTGAGAGCCGCCCTGGAGCCCCAGGGCTGCAGCGAACAGGGACTCAGCACCGGTAGGGCGCCGTTGCTTCGCTGCCTTGGGCGAGCGGCACCGCAGCCGCTGTGAACTTAACTTTCCTAGAGCGGGTCGCAGTCCCACTGCTCCCTTTGCGCCCATTCCGCCCGTGGCCTTGGCGCGGCCACCTCTGTGGCATCCGGCTTGGCGTGCTGTTCCCGGATGGCTGCCGGACTCCCCGCTCCGGTGGCAGTCCCCTCTGCATCAGGTCCCCGAACAGAGCAGGGCTCGGCGGTCTGCCGCACACCACGGGAACCCCGGCTTTGCACTTGGCTGCCTAAAGCTAATTCTCTGAGCTCCCTCAGCCTGGAGGAGCTCTAAGTTTATGGCTCCTGCGAACATCACCGCCCAGGTTTGTAGGGAATTGGGGTGCAAGGACATTCAGTTTGAGGGCCTCTCCATGGATCCCCAATTCCTGGGGCACAAACTAATGCCTTAGGAGGTTCCAGTGGCTGCACGCTGGATAGGGAGAAGAAAGGATGACTTACCAGAATTTCGGAGCGTCTTGTTCTTAGCCACAGCCAGAATGACCATGGAGTTGCCGATCACGTCTATGATGATGGTGATAACCACTGCGCAGAACATAAAGGTGATTACAGCCGGTGGGTAGTTTGGCTGAGGCAGCTTACAGCCAATACAGCCAAATGGGGTGGGGACTGCCAGGGTAGGCTCCATATTGCTGCCAGAGACCGTTAAGATCTTCCAGCCGGTCCAGACAGCAAACACCTGCTCGGTCACCAGGAGCTTAGGGAAAGCTGCCTCCCCTCGGACTACCAGAGAGCAAACGACAGCAACCTGCCCTGCTCCGATGAGCTTTTAAAGCCTCAAGGGGCAGACAGTCCCACCCAAAATCCCTCCCCCCAACCAATCAGAGCTCCCTGGCCACCCCAGCATTAATCACCAACTCTTCTTGGACAAATCTACAGCGAGGTGTCCTCTTGCTTCCGACTGCCTTGTTTGTGCTTCCACTCTAGCTGCTAGCTTCCCTCCACCATCCCCCAGGTATATTGATTTGTGAGAAGCCTGGAGTCCACCTCCCCACCCCACCCCGCAACACACACCAGCCAGTGCGCATCAGTTTCCAGCAAATTCTTCTCCCTCCTCTTCCAACGCTTGGCAAAGTGATGTAGACTGAAGAACGGGGTCATGGGGTCTCTCTTTGGGTCCAGTGCCGAACCAAGCCAGTCTGAATCCCCCAGCAGAGTGTGAGGGGCGGCCAGTGGCCCTTTGAACTCAGATATGTGTCCCTACAGTCTTCTTAAGAGGTTCATCCCACTGCAGGCACTCTTGCCTGTTCAGATCCTTCTGCACTCCCACAGGGAGCAGGTTTCACTGCTCTAGGAAACGTATCCTCTCTCCTGCGCTTGCCAGGAGCCGCTTGGCTCCCTTAGAGGCAGTGGCTGGTGGTCGCTCAGTCCGGGTCCGGCTTGTGCTCTCCATGAGGAGATGTCCCCTGCGCCTGGCTCCGGGAGCAGGGGTCGAGTCTGTACTCTGGGAGCGAGGGGAGTAAGCTAGTGGCCACTGGTCCCTAACTTCGGGGCGAGTGAGAGCGGGAGCTCATCCTTTCCCTAGCTGCTGGGCACCCCGGCCACGGAGCTCAGATGCTGCTCTGGGAAAAAGTAAAAACGGTCAAGAAAGCCCTTTTCTTGGGCCGCTGCTCCTCAAAGAAACCCGGGGTGAGTAGCTCGGGCTCCTGTCTCCTCCCGAGTTGCTCCTCACGCTCTACTGGGTGGTGCGGGGCGCTTGGGAAAGTCCAGGGAGCTGCGCGGCAGCGGTGATGGGACGGGCGCGGAGGTGCGGGCGGCGCGGCCAAGAAGCCACCAGCAGGCCAGCGCTCCCCGCCCCAGGCACAACTAATCTCGGCTCTTCTCCCTTGCCATCTCCTGCCGGGGGTCTCCTTTCGACCTCATCCGGGTCAGGCTGGCCCCCACCGCTGCGCTTCTCCCGCCCCAGGAGTCACGGTTCCCGGGATGTGCCCAGGCTATCAGAGCGCGCGGGCCAGGCAAATCCGAATGGTTCAGGCTAAACTAAAGGGATGCCATTCTGATACTCGCTCCCTCAATAACCTTGGTCACGGGAGTGGATTTCTGCCCGCTACTAAAAGTTATGGCTCTCATTGAGAAGCCTCTCAGAAAATGTCAGCAAACACCTTGAAACTTGGCCTAGACTAGCCTTTTTGCCACAATTGGGGGAGAGGGGGTTGCATTGTCCCGGAGCGCCACCATCTGGACACAGCTGCCCTCCTGCCCCACTGGGAGAGGGGGCGTACACAGGGGGTGGGGGCGGATTCCTCGAGGGACTTGAGAGAATTTATCATTCATGCACCTTGAACGGAAAGACAAACACAACAGAAAACACTTCCTCTAGCTGAAAAGCCCAAGTAGGAATGTATCCCCTTGTTTGAAGACAACTCCCCACCCTGCCCTGTGTTTGCTACTGAGAGGGGAATCCGCATGAATAACAATCTCCCCCCTGGAGCCTTTTCAGATTCCTTATCTTGCTGCTCCTCGCTGGCTGGAACCGGAGCTGCGCGCTCTCAGGGCGGGATTTAGCCAGGATTTATCCATAAACGCAGCCCTAGAACCGGCTCTGCTACCCACCCTAGGCAACTGTGAGCCCCGAAAAGGGGCAGCCGCCGAAAGTTCAGCCACACCGAGTAGTTCTTCCACATCAGACTGCTCACGCCGGGTCCATGAGGGTTTGGATCCTTTCACTTGTGGCAAAGAGAGGCTTTTTGATTCAAGTAAACAAAAATTTGAAGGAAAAATAGAAACAAGCGTTCTAATGACTTAAGACAATGGTGTCATCCCTGCCCCCCCATCCCCGCCCCCGAACCTGTAAAGATCGCTGGCAAACTGTTCTTTGAAGCATTGTTATATTCCACTGCACTATACTCCTGAGATGAGTTCCAGGGCACTGGGAATTCTCCGTGGACATGGCCTGCAGCTCCCTGGGACTCAGGAGTGAGCAAGGTGGGCTGATCCCCTGGCCCTTGTCCCTGTTTTCACACTGCTTGACCATGACCCTGGTTACTTGGATTTTTCAATACTAGACAAGTGGGAGAGGCAACTATTTTAATAATCTGGGGGAGGGGGAAGAATTCTGAATCTGGTTAAATTAATTTTCTTATTTTCATGAATTACCTTAATAAAGATTCTGAACATTGTCCTAGTCCTAAGAAAAACAGATGGACATTAAGTCAGTTATGTGGGTAAATATGAGAGAAAAAAACCAGTCTGAGTTTGAAAGGGTAGGACAAGTCTCCTGTGTAATAAGTTCTTCACTTTGGAACAATAATGAGGGGTGCGCTTCATCCGGTAGAATGCAATGCAAATGGTTTATTTAGGCTTCCAAAGGATTTTTAGTTGTCTTTCTAAAAGGCCTGCTAGCAAGCCCTAATAACTGGAGGTGGAGAGAAAAACTTTATTTGGGATTTGAAAGCCATTAAGAATTAGAATCAAAATAGAGGTGATTTAGGACATTCCCTGGTAATCCTAGGAAACCTTGGAAACCAATATGGAGATTGGGAAGGAGAATAAAGCAAACAATAGTGGACAAAGAATTGTATAGAGAGTTTGCAATCCTGGAGCCCATCCGGTCTCAACATGTTTCCTTCCCCTAGGTCACTTATTATGCGGTGAGGGAGACTACCCAGTCTCCCAAAGGACTCCCAGCACTGAAAACTAAGCACATCCCAGGAAGAAGTGGTGCCAAAGAGCATCCTATATACAAGGTAGATATGAAAAGATCCTCCCCGCCCCCCACTTCTTGCTGATTCAGAAACTGTTCTTTCATCTCAGCCTCCACATTTCTCATCTTCCGAAGAACTGAAGATCAGGATGGGCCTGGCAGTAGGGTGCCAGGTGGCAACTTGGCACTCTTTTAAAAGGTGAGAGAGAGCAAGTGAGCAGTTTCTGCTCAGAAATGGGTGATTTTCCTGCACACACAAGGATAGAGCTGCATCTTCAGAGCTCTGATTATGACGGCAACGGTGGAAGGTCACCTTTCATCATACCTTCTAGGATCTCAGTTCAACCTTAAAGTATTATATCCTTGCCTGTAATTAGTGCATTGTAATTTTTTTAATTTTTCAATTACAGCTGACATTCAATATTATATTAGTTTCAGGTATACAGCATAGTGGTTATACATTTATATGACTTATGAAGTGATCACCATGATAAGTCTAGTACCCACCTGGCATCATACATAGTTATTACAATATTATTGACTATATTCTCTATGCTGCACTTTACATCCCTGTGACTATTTTGTAACTACCAATTTGTATTTCTTTTTTTTTTAAAGATTTTTATTGGGGAATTGGGGGGATGGGAACAGTGCTGGGGAATTGGGGGAAGGGGAACAGACAAGTTGCTGTCGTTTTGTTCTTCAATCTAGTTGTGGAGGATGTTGCTTCACTGGCCCAAGTTGGCACCATCATTGCGCTCTTCTCTGGCAAGGCAGATCAGTCGCTGGCTTCTGGACGGCCGCTCACTGCGGCTGCTGGCCGCTCACGCTGGCTGCTGGCTACATACGGTAGCCCATGGCAACCCACTGCCACAGGGAGTGCAGCCTACGCCGTCGCCGGCGACTCACGGCAGCCCAGCTCCAGGTTGAGCTGTTGTTCAGCATCTTAGCTGTGGAGGGCAGTGTCACTGGCCCTCATATGTGGGATCCGAACCGGGGCCCTCTGGCGTCCCAAGCCAGTTCTTAACCATCGCGCCACTCGGCCGGCCCCCAATTTGTATTTCTTAATCCCTTCCCCTTTTGCACCCAGCCTCCCAACCCCCCTCCCACCTGGCAACCATCAGTTTGTTCTCTGTATCTATGAATTTGTTTCTGTTTTGTTTATTTTGTTTTTTAGACTCCACATATAAGTGAGATCATATGATATTTGTCTTTCTCTGTCTGACTTATTTCACTTAGCATAATACTCTCTTTTTTTTTTATTTTTTTTTTTAGCTGAGCCATCCTGCTACCTGTTGGCAGCTCAGCGGCTGCTCAGCTCGGGCTGGACTCGAACCGCTGTTGCTCAGAGCTCAAACTCTTGAGCGAGCTCTTAACCAACTGAGCCACTCGGCCGGCCCAGCATAATACTCTACAGGTCCATCGATATCGTTGCAGATGGCCAGATTTCATCTTTTTTATGGCCAAGTAATATTCCATTGTGTATACGTACTAACTCTTCTTTATCCAATTGTCTATTGATAGACACTTGAGTCTTGTTTTCATATTTATTTATTTACTTATTTATTTTAGCTGAGCCATCCTGCCACCTGTTGGCAGCTCAGCAGCAGCTCAGCTCGGGCCAGGAATCGAACTGGTGACCCTGTTGCTCAGAGCTCACACTCTCGAGTGAGCTTTTAACCAACTGAGCCACTCGGCCGGCCCCCGAGTCTTGTTTTCTTATCCATTCAGCACCCTATGTCTTTTGTTTGCAGCACTTTATCTATTTACATTTAAATTAATGATTGATAGGTATGTAGGTATTGTCATTTTATAATTCATATTTTTAATCGTTGGATGATTATAATTATTAAAGAAGTTACTTTAACATCTCTTGTAAAACTGATTTGTTGATGATAAACTACTTTAGCTTTCTCTTGTCTGGGAAGCTCTTTATTTGTCCTTTGATTCTAAATGATAGCCTTGCTGGGTAGAGGAATCTTGGTTGTAGGTCACCTTTCATCAGACCTTCTAGGCTCTGTGTTCAACCCTGAAGTATTATAATAATACCTTGCCTGTAATTAGTGCATTGTAATTTTAAATAAGCATTCTATAGT